GTGCCGCCAAACAGGGTATGGTTTTCAGCGACTCTACTCTGGAACAGGGTATAATCGTACATTAACGTACGTATAACCAAACCGTCCTATTTTTCTCGTATCTCCTGCTGTCAAGGTTAATTTTTCTGGAAGGCAGATGATATATTATTAGGTCATTGTTTATGGTTTTCATGGCCCCATGATTTAGCGTCTCTTGGGCTCTATTCAATTCATTTATCTGAATCATACCATTCATGCATTACACTTTAGTAACAAAACCTCATTAATTACCATGAACAGAATCTCACAGTCCCTCCTCCCTGCACGAAGCAATGAAAATTAGCCAAAGAAATAATCAGTTAAAATCAAGATGGCAAGCAGTTTCTTTTTCTTTGGGAGGACACCCCTATAGGGTCTGTACTGTGATATAAACACGCCAGAAGCTGTAGAGCACGAGAGAAGCACATATCAGATATCTTCCACTTGGAAAAACAACTGTTGTGTATCTAAAATACTCGAGTATTCTTTTATTTTTCCTAAGTATCGCGGTAAACAATATATTCGTAATGGGCTTGTTAAACCGAAGCCATGAATGAAAACCATTCGAGTTCAGAATGGCCATTTAATAACGAAACAACATTTCAAGACTATAAAACTGATTTATTGATAAAATATAAAGGTAAAGCTTTAGACGCTACTAAAGGGTTGCTTTAATCTCTAAAAATGTTTGAAATGATAACAAGTGATGCGCGAAAATCCAGCTAATTGAATGAATAAAACATAATACAAATAAAGTATTTACAAAATAGTTTGGATAGAAATAAAATCCTTAAATGTTCAACAACAATGAAATCACTTTCTATAAATTCACAATTTACAGTACCTCAAATAGTCAATAAAAATATTTTATCATATTTAGCAATTAGTCCTTGAGCACGAATGGGCTATGAGTCAGAAATAGGCCACTTATTTAGTGCAATAAGCCTGAAGCGAGATGACGTTTTACCCCCGTCTCTAGACCATAATCCTTTTCACACTGCTTTTGTTCTTTAATTATGACTATTGTTCCTGTATTCTCTAAGGAATCAAAAATTTTAATATGAAACAATTTTAAAAACTATTATGGTATAGAGTCGGGGGTAAAACGTCATCTCGCTTCAGGCTTATTAGTCCTCAAGCACGAATGGGCTGTGAGTCAATAGCCCATGAGGTCGAGAGGCCTAATTGTTTCAGTCAAATCAAACTAGTCGCATTTTTCGATACTAGTAGGATATAACTTATAGCCTAGTAGTATCTCATCCAATCAGAACACAGCATTGACGATAGACCACTAGTTGGATTTGACTCAAATCAAATACTAGACGTGAAATAATCAAATTTATTTCAAATTATAGTTATTCACAAAGCTGCAGCCTACCAAGCAAAACAACTTCTACTCATTAATAAATAGCTGCTTACAGCTTCATTGAAGGTCACTTCGCTGTAAGCATTGGAAAACAAGCGGTAAATTGCTTTAATGAATTGTTATATATACATATTTAACACACTGAAATAAACAGCACTTTCTATCTTGGACCAAAAGCCAAGTACGACTCTAGGGAGACACATATTAGAAAGTTTGGAAATGGCTTAAACCCTCCCCCTCCCCCCATAAACTAACAGAAACTATTAGTTAGTGTGTAAAGACAAGAGAATCATTGTCTACTACCGTGTTTACTCGAATAGACTCCGCGGCGTGATCCAGCTGCGGCGTGTATTCGGGGGCGGCGTCTATTACTATTTTTAGTCCCAGGAGCGGCGTTTATTTGAGGGCGGCGTCTATTCGGGGGCGGCGTCTATTTGAGTAAATACGGTATTTAATAATTAGACCAGCAGCCCGCCCGAATGGGCTATTGACTCGTAGACCATTCGGGCGTAAGGTCTAATTGTTTTAGTCTAAGGGTGCTTTCTATTCGAACCGATCGGTCGGAGTGACCAGTTCTAAAATGGAACGCGTCATTCCTTAGAACTGGAGAATCGCGGGCCTGAACCAGTTCTAAGAACTTCTGACACGTACCATTTGAGAATGGTAAAAAAAAATGGAAACAAAAAAATTTAAATTAGGTTGGACACGCGATTTATTCGCCATTATTTTGATGCAAAAAAAGGTTTTTTTCACACTAGTTGTGTATCACTAAAACACACTAATTTCATTCGCATCAGTGAGTGCGAAAGGAGATATTGAGGTTAGCCTTATCGTGAATATCTCCTAGGATCGGACTAGAATTTAGTAGTTGGTTCTTGCGAAGGGAGGAAAACCGGAGAACCCGGAAAACCCTCGAAGCACAGGAGAGAACCAATAAACAACTCAATTCACATACAACACCGAGCTCGTCGGGACTCGAACCCGGGTCGCATTGGTGAGAGGCGAGCACTCTCACCGCTACGCCACCCATGCTTCAAACAAATAAACCATTAGCCAATAAGAGCGCGGCATTTACGATAGACCATTAGTATGATTAGACTAACATATGTTACACTACAAATTAAAACCACTCTATGACGTCATAAACCACGATCATCACGAGTATACTTTGTGGTGGAACCGACTGTAACGTTGCCAATTGTATGGCAAATGTTGCGCGTCTTACAGTTCCGCGCGCAAAACATTCTTCATTGGAGGCCGCCAAAAAGTTTCATGCGCACGATGTGGTTATAGAACGAATACTTGCAACCCAAGAAAGTTGCGCGCACGATGAATTTCTTAGAACCTGAAACCAACTCACTGCCACTTATGATGCCCAAATTGTTTCGAAAGACGGTTTGCTTGGGTGAAAAAATTGTGTAGAAATTCTAGGATGAAACATTATATCAGAGCAACCATCAATAAGATGCTACGAGAATATGAAATAGTTTCAACAAAAATAGCATGGTTGGACTGTTATAGACTAATACTACTGACCTGATTAATAGAACGATACATATGACACGCAAGCGTCAAAAACCCTCTCTAAATCCAAAGCAGCAGTGACGGAAATAAACGATCGATCAAGTATAGGAATTGGTCGAACTATTAGCATAAGCATGTCAGAGGAGCCTACAACCGCTGACATCTTTTTCAGCCCATAGTATTAGACTGTGATTGGTTTGACTTGGATCTGCAAGTCTCCAAATTGTCACACTTCTAAATACGATATCTGTTAAAACAGATACAGAATAACCACTTACACTGATTTCGAATAATAAACAAGAATCATAGTGATACTAAGATATGAAGGTACTTGCTGCGGCTTTAAAACAGAAGCTTCATTTTCTCTACAATAAAATAATACAAATCCCTTGATCAGTGAGTCAGACCGGATACGAGAGATCCATGGTAGTGTAGTCCCTTGATCTAGCCAAGGATAATAATCTTCGTAATTGTAGAGATCTTTCTTCTCAGTTTGCAGTCGGTAAGCAAGCATAATGATCAGCTGTTAATTTTTTTCATATTTGCTTTGCATTAGAAAAATGTAGTAGCACCACAGGTAGCCCAGCAGTTCTAATATGTGAGATGCATAGTTACAGTTGGTCTGAGCTATCAGACAGTCTGCGCATCTCTGCTAGTACTTCTGCTTTCTCTTCTTCTAGAGTAATCTCACGTGATTCAGGTCTAAGATTGGCTGATGTTTCTCCTTGGTAGCCTAAAGAAAGAAGGTGGATGATAGTAAAGTCAGTAAAAAGCACTTCATTGTAACGAACTAGTTCGACGCACGGCAACCGGAACGCGATCAAAATGAAAGAAAGAATCTCGTGACGGTTGTTTGAGCTAGAAGGTTATCTTTAATAATAAAATAACTGTTATAAATAGTCGTGCTGTATGAGAATGGACAACATGTGCCCACACTTTCTGTTTCGTCATTCCTCGTGCTTCTTCAAACACTTCTCTCGTGTTTTGCCAATCTTGACGCGCGTGTTAAGAGTAACTGCACACAACACGCGCGAGGGTTTTGTAATTTCTCAGTTAAACAAGGAAAGACATGAATTGAAAGCTAAAATTTTACGGTCGCGTTAGCGCTGTCATTGCCAGTATAATGCGGAAATCAAGTGTACATCGACTTACCATCTTTAAACAATGAGTGACCGTAGTTTGACTTCCAGTTGTTGAGTTTACAAAATATCTCCTCATCGTCTTCCTCATCTTCCATTTTCATTTTTATATCTTTGCTGTATTCATCTATCTCGCTCTCATGTTCTTCCATCTCTATTTCCTTCAGCTTTTGCTTCGCTGCGCGCGCACCTCGATCATTATTTCGATTGAGCGAATTCTTTTTCAGAGGATTCAGAATCCGAAGAGGTTCAGACGTAGCGCTGTGGTGTTGTCTTTTGCATTTTCGTCGAAGACAAAGGATAATACCAGATATCAAAAGAATAGCACCCACTATTCCTGCTGCGATGGAAGCATACAAAATGGCGTCTCCATTGAAGCCTTTATTTGGTTTACCTGATTCTGAAGAAGATAAACAGAGAAATATAGATAACTGAGGACAACGAGAGAAGAGAAGAGAAGAGAAGAGAAGAGAAGAGAAGAGAAGAGAAGAGAAGAGAAGGAAAAGTAAGCAGAACGAAAAATAAGGCATGGGGTTCAAACTACTTGTGATGAAATGGAAAAAAAGAGAAGAACATAAAATAGAAATTAAAATGTGTATTAATATCTATTATTATTATTATTTATATAATAAATACTTCTATAAAATAACTGACCTAAATCTCGCGCACAGCACACAGAGCACACAGCACGCGCGCGCAAAAACTTGCTTGCTGTGCTGTGTGGAATTATAAAGTACTTGGGGATAGGCAGAACACTTGAGAACTGTCGAGAAGTACTCCGCTACTTGTCGTGCTTCCCCTAACATTTTTCTCGTATTTTTCCAACCCCCGCGTGCTTTATGACTGCACTAAGCGCGCGCGCGTTTTCTATTTCTTCAGTATTGTTTACCTTTGACATCCCATACAATATCAGTAGGTATAAGAGGTGGCTGTGTGTAGTTTTTCTTCTTATTGTCATCAATATCTAAATTGCTTATGTTCGATGGACCATTAATTGGAACTGTTGAAATAAAAGACATATTGAGTCCATCCTATCTTATATGGCTGGTTTTGGTCAACGTGCAAACTTCGGTGCTTAAAAACCACACGATCGAACTACTATAACGTCTCCCTCTGCGTAATCACAACGAATGTCATCTTTTCAGCACTTGATGAATATGTAACTATGCCAAGGTCAAGGATGGCTTATAATATATATATCATTTCATTTAACGAGGATGAAATATATTGACTGATACCGGCCCTGTAGTTGACATAATAGCCCTCCGTGTGGGGTACTTTTAAAGCTATAGGCCTTTTCTGAGTTTGACAAATCAAGGTGCATACTGGTCATGCATGGGTACAAACAACGCCGCATTAGATAACATGGAGTTGGTATCGCCATTTTATGTTATATTTTTACTACTCTTTGAATTTAATAAAAACACCCTCTCCCTTCAAAACTAACGATGGTGGTATTTAGGAGCAGCGTTCTTGGGGCGGGACAAGAGGAAGATTATAATTAGACTATGCAATTTTAGTGCAGGATTTTAGGCATGCGTCCAAAACTCTTGAGTATTTTTCTCCAAGATCATACTATAAATCTTTAGAAGGTCAATAAAAAGATAAGAATAGTATATACTGACCTGACAAGAACTCTACCTCACTGAGCAACACCCACCACCCATGATATTTGAATTCACAAGTGATGTACTTTCCCTCGTTGTGTTCGAGGTCCACGTCGAGGAAGAAGGCCATGTTTTTCATTTTTCTTTTCTCGAGACTTGGCTCGAACACGATTTTCCAGGAATAATACTCTCCGTCAGAGCTGAATGAAATAACTACCTGTAAATGGTTAATGACATGGTAGATTACGAACTCATGTACGCGTCAAGTACACGTGTTTTATTGGTTCCGCGCTCAATGATGAATATATTTCAAACTAGTATGATTGACATACGATATTAGAACATTAGTGATTTAGTGAGAAAGGAATACATTAAAAGACAAAAGAAAAAGTTCAGCTTCAGTGATCTTTTGTTTTTTGATATAATTCCTATTCCACTAAATCACTAATGTTCTATTTTCGTATGACAACGTTCTTGCAAGTCGGTGTGTATATATATATTTATATATATATAAGCGCAACTCCCTTTCTTACTGAGATTTTGCACCACCACGTGATGGCAGCCATGTTGGATGACAGGAACAATACAATCGTCACGTCATATGAAAAACCTCAGTACGTTCTACACATCGTCCTACTTGGATGCGCAGTATTCAGCGCGTGTTATGTGTTGTTCTGTCTGCTGTAACCGTGCCGTGCAATGAATTCCTCAATTACTTCTACTTCTTCACCGACTCACCTTTCCAAAAAGCAGTTTTTCAGCTCCTGGTTGATTCAACACGTGAAAACGTATCTTTGAAAACTTTCTTTCAGAAGAGAACTTAAAGGTGATGGTGGGATGTTCCGCGACACGGTCACGCCATCCAATCCAGGAGATCCAAGCAGGATTGACAGTATCATTCCAAGGGGCGTTAACCCCTAGTAGACCGTCTACTAACTGACCAAGGCCATTGGATAGTACACCTCTTTTAGTGCCGTAGGAAAGTCTACGCCCATCATAACCAACATCTCTCAGGTCTCCAAGACCTGGACCGTTAGACCGACCGGTACCCTGGGACATACGGTAAGACAATAGACCATCTGAAATCACAAGCAATAAAATAATTGTAAAATAACTATAATATACAATAACAGCACTTTAAAATACAATATGCACGACGGTTATCATGTGTTTTTCTGGTCTTATAGTCTATTCAATATATTCGCAATACATTAGCATAATAGGTATAATAAGTACCATCACTCCTTACTTGGTGTACATTTACTTCAACGACATCAAGAGTGGACGTCACCCGCCCACCAATCGTCAAGCATGTGTTGCGCAGCGCCTGCAGTACGCGTGAATATACCGCTGTGCAGTGCATTCTCGTTAACAGTAGCTCTTTTCGGCTACTATATAACTCAGTATATATTAAAATGTATTTTACGTACTAATAAAAGAGCGCTTGTCCACTTATGACATACCGTAACATTGAAATGGCTCACCTTGATTAGTCCACGGACAACCATACAACTCGACCTTGAAGCAGGCTCTGTTTCCAGATCCCTCCAACACAACAAACCTGACATATCTAGCTATGTGTGGTGTTAGCAGAGTGTGTCTCTTGACTTCTGTTTGGTTACTTTCAAATAACTGGAAAACAGAGGGATAGGATAACATTAAGTTTGGAGGACAGCGCTTGTCCTTTACTGAATGCTGCCAGTAATGCGGAATGAGATTTATTAAGCTTATTGATACAGCAATAATGAAGCAGTGCAATAGAGAATGTTCACTGTTTTCTCAGTTATTCCAAAAAATGAATCGATTATCTTGTTTACCGTGACAGTCACTTCATTTTCTCTATATTGTCTCCATCTCCACTCCTCATCATAGCTTCTCTTGTAAGATATGTAGAACTTGGTAACGTGATAGGCATCATAGCTGAGAAAGATATAATAAACAATAGATTGAATATATATATATATATATATATATCCATGTTTACGTTCTCCATAGCGCCCTCTTCGTATGATTTCTTCGTTTAATGGTTGCATAGGAAAAGACAAACTAAACGTTGATATAAGTAGAACAAAGAATGGCAATCAATCTTTAGGGAACGACATAAAGTCTAAAATGGGAAAACGACCAAAGTATTGCATCAATAGAGGCGTCATAACAGTCAAAACAATAACTGCGGCAAATATGTATAGATACAAACCATCATCATCATTATTTGCAGCAACAGGCAACAGCAACATTAACACCACAAGAAAAAGGGAAGGTTGTCCAATGTTATAGGATAATACGTACCCTTTTGTAGTCCTATTCCAGACTTGGATCCCTTGAGAAGCGAAGCCTGATATTCTCATGTCTCGGCCGAGATCTACTTCAAGATATTCCTTCATAATCTTGCCTTCTGCCGAACACCAGCCTGTACTTGTAACTTTCCTAGTCAATCGACCTTGATGAGGGCCATTGAGCTTTGAGTCACTGGTGGAGGATGCACTCAGTTGTGAATCAGGAATAGAACCATTGGACACGCCCAAGGGACTATTACAATCTACGCAGCAAAGAAAACTAGAAGGTTAGTGGACAAGGGTCACTGATAGAGGACGCACTCATGATCAGTTGTGAATCAGGAAAAGAACCATTGGACACGCCCAAGG